CTCCCTCCCATTCGGCTTCCTTTCCTTTTCTTTTAATTAAGCCCAAAGGGAGGAGTAAAGGGGACAGGAAGTGCTCCCCACTGCCTTTGGGAGACTCCCCAGGCATCCCTGACAGCACTCTGCCTGTATCTTCCTGGCCAGTGCGTGGTCACAGGGCCTCGTCGAGTAGCAAAGGGGGAATGGGTGAACACCTGTTGGCTGGGTGACAGTGTTTCTAGCTGGGTACTGCCGTTCTGCTAGTCAAGACCAAGGAGAGAGTGGGCGTTGGGATTCAGCTCGCAGCCCCTGAATTGTTGACCAGCTATGGTTGCTAAATGGAGACGGTGGAGAGCAGCTTTCTAGAGAAAGCTTTTAGTTCACTGTTTCTGTGAGCCTGCTCACAAACGAGCCAAAAAATTAGAGTATTTTGTATTTAATTCAGTTTTCATCCACTTTATTTTGGGTCTCAAGTACAAGATATTAACAAAATATTCTTTCGAGTGCTGCTTCTAGAAATTAATGTTGAATTAGATTTATTAGGATTTACTTGCTGGTTTTCTTCTTCCATACCACGTATTTTAAACTAGGAAAGAATTTGAGTTTTGGTTCTAAGGCTGTGCTTATAGAGTTAGGATCAGCTGAAGTGCTAGCCTTGGGGGGGAACTGAGGTGGTGGTAGAATCAGAAAGTTAGTATTTTATAGAAAATTAATCCATAAATAGTCAGCAGACTTTCTTTGGGCATCTAATTCTGGTCACTGTTCCCGATATTGATCTTTTCACTGGGTTGTAGAATAAAGTACTAATGAGAAGTTTTGTTCTTTGGAGATTTGAAAAATTGCTTCATGTGAGTCCTTTTCCTTCCAGGCTCTAAATTATCTCGGTATTGAGCCCACAAAGGAGCAACACCAAGCCCTGAGACAGCAAGTGCCAGTAGACCCGAAGGGGACAGTGTCTTTTGGAGGTAACATTAGATATGGTGTGTTATCTCAGCGATTTTCAGCCTGTGTTCTCTGGCATGTTGGTGCGCCACAGGAATCTGTAAAACACGCAGCACCCGACTGCTTAATCAGGGCACTGGCCTCTTTTCCCTTAGACTGTCAAAGTAGAAAATGGCAGCAGCCAGCACAACAATAGCCCCCAGTGTGAATGAATCAAAATTATACCTATTTTTTTGTCAGATTGGCAAAAAATATATTTTTTGGTGTGCCGCAGAATTTTAGTTTGTGTGCCACGAGATGAAAAAGGTTGAAAATCACTGAGTTATATCTTCACAGAAACTTATTTGAAGAGTTATTGTGACTTATTTTCATAAAGAGTTCCTCTTTAGGAGAGAAAAAAGACCGCATCTGTTTCAAATTCCCAGGTCGGTACTCTAAAAGCTCTGCTAGAATTACTGCTAGTCAGCAGAAAGAACTTTCTTAGAATCTTTTGGCTCTAAAATATTGTCGTTCTATCATATTCTTTTTCATTTTTTATTTATTGCCTAAAGATTGCGTTAGTAATAACAAGAAAGTACAAAATATAGAAGTGCTGATTCCACTACGGTGAAATTTTAATCCTGTTTTGCTAATGTGATACGGTAAATGTTTTTATGATGCTATGTAATTATTCTGACTAAAGGTAGCATGATGTTGACATACTTAGTTGACATACTGTAATATTAAGCCTTTCCACTATTGGGAATTTTGATGGTTTCTCAGGAGGTGACATTATAAATAAATCTATATTTAACATCGTAGCATTTGGTTTTTTACTTAGGGTAAATGCCCACAAGTGGTTTGAACTTTGGATATGTATCAATAGTTGTTCTCCAGAGATTTTTTTTACACGTCAGTGTTTTGTACCTTTGACAGCATTTCATATTTAATTTTTTCTCTTATGCAGCAGATGCAGCATTGCATCATTTTAAAAAGTATCTGCATTGCCAAAAACAGAAATTCACTTCTTGGTTTTGGAGTGATGGAAAAAAAGATACATTTGCTCCCCTCTCCTCTTGAAAATCACTTCAAAATAATAAGAGCCAAGAAACAGAAGTGCATGTATACTAACCCACAATATATAAGGACAGAAAGTAAATGAATTAGTGAGCAGAGGCAGGTGGAAGAACCCAAGAGTCTGAAGAGATAGGGGAATCCAGTGAGGAACAGCTGATTTTTCCCTGAAAAGGACCCAAAGCACCAGGTACTTCTGAAGGCTGGGGGTAGACAGGGCATTTAAAACAGGATTGTTGGACACCTGTAGAAGGAGCAATTATATATGCTGTTCCCTGCCCCCTCTCAGGCAATCCAGCTACATGGAGGCTTTACAATAAACATTAGCTGCTGCTATTGTTATTATTAAATCTTCAGTTCCAGCTAGAAAAACTGTAAATCATAATATTGTCATGTTTCAGAAAAAGTCCTACTTACAATTTAGGAGTTGGAGGAATAGGTGTATATTTGCTTTCTGATTTTCTTAACTGATTTATTAACTTCAGCAAAGTGAAGTGAAGTTAATCTTACTTTTATTTGAACTTATATCTTACTTTTTATTTGAACTTATATCTTTCTGTCACTTCACTTAATACTATCTTAAGGCAACTTATTAAGTTAAATTTTAAGCATTAGTTTTAGTACAGTTTCAACTTCATATAGAAAAAGATGAGATTTATTTAGATGAGGCGAAGTATGTTCTTACTGAAATGTGTTTCATTTTAGATTTTGTCCAGGTTGCCCGAAATTTGTTTTGCTTGCAGTTGGATGAAGTAAACGTTGGTGCATGTGAAATTTCCAAAATATTAGATTCACAGGTAGAGTATGCCCTACAGAATTGTCTTGATTGTACTTAAATCATAAGTCTGCAATGTCATGTGTCATGTATGTGTGCTTTTTTTCATTTTTCACTGGTTTTATAAATTATGCAAATAAAACATGCTTCTTGGATAAATATATAAAATGTAGATTAATTTAAAATCAAAAGTAAAATTTTGCCTTGATCTCCTCCATTGCTTTCTTACTGCCACACAGTCCTCAAAGCTACTGTACCCACGCTTGCTCAGGGAAGGCATGCAAGTGAAGTGGGGCATTCAGAGTATTTTGTATGAGCATGCGAAGCTTTCATAGCAGCTGCAAAGAAATACTCATGCTCCATATTAGCAATTTACTTCCTTCTCACCAAGACGATTTTAGGGCAGATAAGATTGTGTTCAGTCTGTGATACTTTAACAGCAAAAGCAAAGTGCTGATGGTAATTGTGCAAGGTCTTCTGCATGCCAGTAATTTGCTGTTTGTAGCTTCAGATCAAAATGTTGGGCAACAGTCATTGTATTAATTTATAAGATTTCCTTTGTTGTATTGTACCTTTCAGCACACAGAAGATATCCCCACAAAATGTTGGCTTTCCTGTTTATTCCCACAGGAATCCACAATAAGAATACATTTTACTTCACCACACTCACATGTAGACTTGGAGCAAAAGTCTCAAAGCATCACTTACCTTTTCTACATCATGGCATTCTTATTTAATATTCAATTCTATGTCAGTAAATATTTGATCCTACAGTTCAATAATGGGTCATGCACCACAATTGGGAAAATACTATAAAAATCATTGCTTGTCAAGCAGGTCACCAGAAACAAAAAATATTTTATTATTTTGTAGTATAATTCCCAATTGTTTTTTTGAGTTAAAAAACAGTATACCTCATCTGAAGTTTATCGATTGATCTGTGGTTGAGGATGCTGACAGTCTGTGAAGGTGGGGAAATTCCACTATGGTTACCTCCTCAACCACTTTGTCATAAGCAAGAGTCAGATTTTACAATCCGTCTGTTAGGGATGCTTATTTTACTCATATGTTTTCATTTTTAGGGTGGTCTTTTCCATAATTTATTTTTTTTAATATTTTCACTTAATGCATAATGGACACACATAAAGTACAAAAAGTACATGCATAAAGTACAAAATGTACATGCATAAAGTAAAAGTACATGCATAAAGTACAAAAATTTCAAATGTACAGCTTGATGAATTTCTATTAATGTCTCGTGTAATCACTCAAAAGGCGGCTTCGTGCCAATTTTCTAGTTGGCCACTATACTGATTTTTATCAGCGTAGATTAGTTTTGCCTATCCTTGAACTTCATAATAAATAGAATCACGCAATATGTACTCTTTTGTGACTAGCTTCTTTTGCTTATCATTTCGTCTGACTCATAAGATTTCTTGAGATACCATCTTTTAGGAAGGAAGGGAGAATTGCTGAGTCATTATAAGTCAGTCCTACTTTTGTTCAGTTGACAAAAAAAGTTTGGTTTTGGAATAATATGGCATTTAGAACCAAAGATAAAATTATATTACTGTGATTCTAATCATCATTGGTATGTGAAAAATTTACATATTGCTATACCTGCTGCTGGTCCAAGGTTACACACAGAAAAGGCAAGGTTGGAACCTACATTTAGCAGTATTGTAAACTTAGAACAGCAGACTCAAGTTCACCTTAATGTGATGGGCTTACCACATTAATCCATAAATGGATTATCTTAAAATTACAGAGAGAACACTCTAAATTCCCTAACATAGACTTTTCATGACTTGGGTTCTTGCTAAATCAAGTTAGTGGATTGCAATCACTTTCAACAAGTGAAACAGAATAGAATGGAAAATACCAAAGTGAACCGTGTGTGATAAGAGTGAGCAATGTTTCACTTATGCTGGGGTCATGAAATAAATGATATTCTCACTGTGTGTAGTGGTAAATAATCTACAGCCACTTCACTATATACTCATCTGTAGAATATTAAATATATATCGAGCAACGACCATGTACATAGCGTTGTGTTAGGTGCTTCAGTACATGTTACTAAGATAAATAAAACTCTAACCAATATACTGTACACATGAAACTAATACAAAATCATTTTGAATGCACACTGTAATTGAAAGAAAAAGATAAGTAAAACTCCAGCCTGCCCCTCAAGGAATTTAGAGTTTAGTGTAAGGAAAGTTATGTACACAAATAATCGCAGTTTAAAAGTGCCTTTTGTGTGATAAGGCCATGATAATAAAAGAGCTTAAACATTTATGACAGAGTTGGCATTTGAGTGAGTTTTGAATTATAAATAGGATTTTTTCTGCTCAAGAGGTGAGCATCAAGTGATAAGAGCACTTATGAATTCTATGAGCGTGTGTTTGAGTACTTACAAAAGAGTAGACTAACAGACAGGTGAGGAACGTGAGATGGTGTCAACTATGGACAATAGCCGTATAAATACACAAAAGCAAACATGTCAGGGCAAAAGGAACCACTAATGTTTAGGAAAACTGTTTCTCCCCCCATATATGAAGAATGGTCCCTACCTCTGCTGTTCTAGGATTTGGAAAGCAAATCTGAGTTTTATTAATATCCACCATGCCTTTTGTTGAGTAGTTAGTAAAAATCACAAACTAACATCAGACCTCTGTGAGAATCTTGGGAGGGCCGTGAAACCTTAGGTAAGTTACTAACCTTTTGAGCCCATTTCCTAACCTATAAATGGAAACAAGGTTATAGTAAGGATTTAATATTGAATACATATAGTCCTTAGCAAGGTATCTGCACATAGTAACTTCCCAGTGCATGGTTATTACTTGTATGATCTTTTTCTACTCTGCACTCAATTGCCCTCTCTACTTAATCCTTTAAATCATATTTTCTACATGTTAATGTTAGTTCTGTTATAACTTCTGCATAGAAGATAGCTGTAATTAGACCTGGATTTTTGTCTTTGATAAGATTGTTCTTGTTATCTACCTTGCAGTTAACTGTCAAAAGTAAGAGAGATTGTCAGCTTGGCTATTTCTTGTTGTTACTCACTTGTGCATGAATTAATAATATTATTTTCAAGACACAGTTTCTGTGCAGGAATCTCTTTAAGCCACTTGACTGTTATATTACATTGTGTTTAATTAAAACAAGACACATGGTCAGTTAATGTACTTCACTGGGTTTACGTAAACAGTCTCGGTTTATAATGCCCAGCATTTTGTTAGCCTTGGAAACCATGTGCTTGGAGTGGATGTCTTTAGGGAATAGTTTATGTTAATAGCTCATAACGTTTTCTTAACATTACAAACACAGTCTTGGGATTTGGACTTTTAAGGAAAATTATATTGTTAAGAATCACAAAGATGACAACAGTATATATACCTGATAATCATCTGAATTCTGTTGTAAGTAACAACAGTGTAAGAGTGAGTGAGCGTGAGTGGAGTTTCCCCAGGTTATTTTAACGTTGTCTTTCACCTGATCAGATGGCTCCTAAGCCTTGTGTAAAAGCATCTCTGTGATAATTCTCATAATTAGCATCATTTTCCCTTCTATTTTAATGTCAACAGCTTATTGCCTGTGAGTCCTTAGAAGCAGCTGACGTGGAAAGGCTTAAGCGTGAAAGAAATGATGCCTTGGAACAAGTGAATGCACTGAAGGTAATGTCCAACTTAGCTTTCTTACATTTTCTTTCGAAAAAAGAAAAGAAAATGATCTTGTGTTGAATTCTCAAGTATTGGGACTTAGTTTTATTATTATTTAAAGAGTATTAATTTCAAATAGCTTAATATTAATTTGATATGGGATATTAACATCAAAGAATTTTATATGTATTTCTTCAGTTGATCTTTAGCGAGTTAATGTTTTAGTTCACATGCTTTTTATTTATATTTCACAATATCCCTGTAAGATTCAGTGTGAACAGTGGTTTTTACTCGTAGCTTCTAGTTTGGCTCCTGCTCACCCCCTTTTCTTTCTCACATTGGTGGCAAGGGTGAGAAGCCAACAGAGCAAGGCCATGACAGTCTGGGTCCTCAGACGTTCATTAGGAAATACATTTTCTACCGCGTTCATGGGCATCTTCAGGGCCATCTTGTTATGCTAACATAATTTGGAATTAAGGCAATATGATCTGAGGGAAGAAAAAACACACAATATATCCCAAATATACTTTAAGATTTTGATTCTCTTCATGTTTTCATTCAGTGTTTAGAAGAATATTAAATTTAAATTATATACAAATTTTTATAGAAAGCCATTATATTTCTCAAATCTTCAAGAAAAGCAGCATAACCACTTGATTTACCATTAATTCAAAATAGGAATATATTTTAATTATTTTCTTAAATGTGAAATTCTATTATTTATTTAATTTTTATTAAAGCAAAATTATTGCACCCATAAAAAGAAATTTCCATGCTACCTTAGTTTTAAATTCCAGCCTCTAGAGGAAGCCATTGTTAAATGTATTTTGTTTATCTTTTTGTAGACTTTTTATACATAACCAATTATATTTTTTTTAAATGAATGTAAATATATATGAACTATATATTTTTTAACTTTTGCAAAGTCATTTAATACATTGTACACTTTTTTACAACTTCCCTTCTTTTTTCTCCTTGTCAGCATTATATCTTGGGCTACTTTTCCAGTTAATATATACAAATAGGCCAAATCCTTTTTCTTGGCTCTCTTATCATCACATGGTTCTGTTCTAAGTTAGTTAGCCAGTTTTTTAATGATGAACAGTTAGGCTATTTTCATTTTTACATTATTAAAAATAATTCCATCATAAATAGTTTTGTAGTATCTGTGCATGGTTGTAAAAATACAAATTGAATAAATTTCTAAAAGTGGAATTGTTTTCTCAAAAATATAGACTAATAACAAATTCCCTTTCAAAAGGCTTTACCAATTCATGTTTCTTCCAAATTTTTATGAGCATCATTCCATTACTAAAAGAGTATTTTATACACTTCTTATTACAACTTTGAAACCACTATCCACATTTTGTGGTGTAACAATTAAGAGTTATAAATTTAGTTTTAAAAATAAAGTCAGTTTTAAACATCTATTGACAATAGTTTCCTCATATCCTCTTAGAAAACACCTCCACTCCTGGTGACCTTAGTAAGACAGCATTTTTATATATTTGTCTCTGCATAAACCATTAAGTTGTATGGTTCATCAGAATTTCCAGAGGCTCTCAGATCTTTTCCATTCCCTTAATGTTTATCATTGCTGAATTTAGTGCTATATTCCAGTTTATTTGAATATCAGCATTGATTATTAAAATTGTAATTTAAAACTGTATTCATGTAACATTTAAACAAGCTCCCCTGAGGAGCTATTTAATAAATCAAAATTCATATTTAAAGTCTATGAAATGTAACTGAACATATTTCACTGTGACATAATCTGAAATTTTCTTTACCTCAAAACCTATCTATTGTCAGAGAACCCTCTTGTTTAGCTATATAAAAGAGTATACAAAGCAATAAATATTTTATTTGAGATAATGTTTGTACTTTCAGTTTTTCTACTTGGATTTATACACATACACAAAAATAGAAGTTGTTAAATGAAGTTCATAGAGTGTGTAAATGGTCTCTCACTGCTTCTCATTACTGCTAATCAGATATCTTTATGTCTGATTTAAGGAACAAGTAAAAATGAAACCAAGGTAATCTGATGCTATAGTCTAATTTTATTTTGTGAGAAATATTTTAAAATTTTCATGGGCTTTATTTACCTTAAAGCCTTTCTACGGCCTTCACATTGCTACCNCCTGTGATATCTTTATGTCTGATTTAAGGAACAAGTAAAAATGAAACCAAGGTAATCTGATGCTATAGTCTAATTTTATTTTGTGAGAAATATTTTAAAATTTTCATGGGCTTTATTTACCTTAAAGCCTTTCTACGGCCTTCACATTGCTACCGCTTTGCAAAGATGAATGGAAATAGATGTATTTTCCATTTACAGATGCAAAAAACTAGCACACAAAGAATGAAGGTGACTTGCCAGAGCATAAAAGCATGGCAGCCAGCAGTTTCTTGGTTCCTGGTCTGTGGCAGATTCATTAGATTGCTGTAGTATATTCATCTCCATATACCTGCATTTTCTCTCTCAGACAAGAATGAGCTGAAATACACCAGAAAGCACATTGCTTCTTACAAACATTATTGTGTTGCCATGAGAATTTTCTACTCAGTTTAATTTTCAAGCAGTTCTTCTGTTCAAGTTCAGAGTAAAATGGCTCTTAAATTATTCTTAGTGTTTCTGATTTGATCAATAACATGTAGATTTATTTATGATATAGGTAAAAGTGAACATTTTAGGGTATATGCTTCACTTAATTTTAAGTTCAAAGATGATAATATTTGATTGGCATGTGTAATATTGTTCTGTCTTAAGAACTGTCATTTCATATTTTGGTTACACCAGTAATGTCTTCATTTTTATGGATGATCTTCCAAGAATAAGCTAAATTAGGAAAATGATATTCAACTGTTTCAACTGAGTATTCAACTCAATATAGCATGAGAGACTTCTAAGTTGTAATAATACTCAATTTGGAAGCTCTGGCAATGATAGCTATTACCCAAAATTTAGTTAATATTCATACATTTTGAACCCGATTAACTTACTCTGGACCACAGATTTTGGAGCTTTACAAAAATGGCTAATTAAAGGAACAGAAAATACATTTTTCTCATAATTCTACTGTGAATCACTAATTACTTTAAAATGGTATAGATAAAGCCAGAAATGTGGTGGAACTACATTTCAGATTTTAGCAGTTGGATATCTGGGGAATTTATAAGCTTTGAAACAGAGCCCTAAAAATGATACTCATTGATACCTTCATAATAAGTTATTAATTCAGTGGTTTTTTAATATAGGAAAAATTATTTGAATCGGAAAGGAAAAGGAAACAGTTGACAGAAGAACTCCAGAATGTGAAACAAGTAAGTGATGTATTATATATGTGTATTGTGTGTGTGCATAAACATATGAGGTGTAGTTACAAGGCAAAGATGCTGTGTAATATCCTAGAGTGTATGGATGTAACAGAGGCTGCACCTGTCCTGAAGTACCACTTCCACTGCTCTAAGAAATGGTAGAACTCCTCTTACAAATCCACAGACGGAAACAATCATTCTCATTTCTTTTCTCTTCTTTACATTCTCTCTTCGCTTTTCTTCTGTTATTCATACCTAATATTATTAAACATAAAACAAAACAAACAATAAATTAAATAACCCTGCAAGGCAGAGCATTTTTTACTTTTATTTTTTAATAATAAAAAGTAAAAATAAATTTTCAATATGCATCATCCTTCAAAGAACTTTAGGTAGCTTACAAAACAATTGCAATGACGTTATCATAAACTAGATATACAGATAACAAACAAAATAATGATGAGTAGAAAGTTAAGAGAACATTCCTAGGGATCAGTGGCAGTCACCTGGTTATGAATCTTCCCAACATTTTCCCCTCAGAAAACATAAAACCTATAGTGGAAATAAAGTCACACAGGACCCATACCTTCAATATGACTGTGACAGATCACCACAGCCTTCAGAGTACATATAAAAATGTATAAAAATGTTTTTTTAAAAATCCAACAAAGTCCTACAGCTTGTCTGCCACTGGAACCTGGAACAGAAAGAGCAGAGGAGGTGAGGTCTCAAAATGCTGAAAAAGAACTGGGAAAAACAGAGCAACAGATGAAATACAGATAAAGTCACCCCCAGAAAGAGAAAATGGAACAATTGATGCCAATATACTGAGCAATGTGATGACTTGGTGGTTCTCAGGACCTGAGGAAGTATGTGCAACCAGAAGTGGCAGCCTGGAGAGACGTTGCTTGTGGGGGAGAATCAGGAGAACAGAAGGAGTGATATCCCTGGGAGACTAGGAAATGAAGAGAGAGGAGGACATTGGACACCCCTCACCAGCCCTGGCCTGTGTGAACACGTTCAACGGAAAGACTGGTCGGTTGCACCAAGAGCGGAAAAAATGACTTGAAACATAGAAAGTAAAGAAATCTTTAAAAAACATTTATATTTGTGTATGTGAGTGAGTGAGTGAGTGAGTGAGTGAGTGAGTGTGTGTGTGTGTGTGTNGTGTATGTGAGTGAGTGAGTGAGTGTGTGTGTGTGTGTGTGTGTGTGTGTGAGATTCTCCAGAGCATTTAAGATCTCTTCCCAGCAATGTCATCAGTTTGGCTCATAAACTTTTATGAAAATTTAGAGAGAGAGGAGAGAGAAAGGAGGGCATAAGATGGGAAAATTAAGGACCTGGCATAAATGAAGAGAAACAAGACTTACCAGACCTCCTCCATCTACCCCCTCCACAACCATCAACAACATGATCCATAAGAGAAATTGCACAGAAGAGGGTGCTGTTGAACTGAGAACTCTTTCTACGAAAGAAAAAGGAATAGGAAAACAATCTGTCCCCATCATTACAAAACAACTGTAAAAATCAAACAATATGAAATAAAGCTTTCCTCAGACAATATGAATTAAGTATGTTCCTCTTCAAAACACTTCAACCACAAAGCTGACAAAAACTGAACCATAGCACCCTAAACAATTAAATAATCCTCAAGAAAGCATTTGGCATTAAGAATCAGAAATTTAAATACCAAGACTAGAATTTGACAAAAACACACACACAAAACCCTAGAAGAAATGAAATGAGAGTTGATAAAACTTAGGAAAGAAAGAAAAGGAAAAGACAAAAATATTAGATTACAAGTTGCCTGAGGAAGAATGTATTAAAATGAAAAGGCATTGAAAACCAGAGAAATAAGAATGAATTAAATGAGTTTCTTAAAGTAAGGAAAGCAACTGAACAGCACTAATATTTAGAACTATAATCCAAGAAAACTTTCCAGAAATGAAAGAAGACCTGAATCTATTATTGGGTACTGGGAAGAGTGGACCTGAAGAGATCAACTCTAGGACATATCCAGTAAAACTCTTAGACTTTAGAAAGAGAAAAAAGTGCACATGCCTCCAAGTGGAAAGATCGAATAACTTACACAGGCCAGCATCAGCCTTCTCAGCAGAACATGTAAAGTAAGACAGTAGCAGAGCAACGTTTTCAAGAAACTAAAGGCAAGAAAGTGTAAACTAAAAATACGGTGTACGGCCAAGCTGACGTTCAGATGTCCAGGCCATCGAAGAACAGTTTGTACTGTACACATACACGCAGTATTCCTGAGGAGTCCAGCGACATAGGGTTTCACCTGACCAAAAAATAACTGCAGCAACTTTGTCAAGAATTTCCAAACAGTAAGCATTTTATATATGTTATAGCTTAGACTAAAATAAGAGTTGATGGGTAATAGGATAATGTGAAAATATTACATGTCTGGCAAAAATAAAAAGATGCAATTTATTTAAAAAATAAGAGGATAAGGGAGGGAAAAAGGGGGGGAATAGAATATGATCCTTGTCTTCTTAAGTAAAGGGTAATAGGGTACCGTGTAAAACTGACATCAAATAGTAAAAGATAAGGTAAAAATAGAGAGGATTTCAGGCACTATAAAAAGTAATAATACAAAGGTAACCTAGAGAATGAAAATGCAAACCCTCCTAAATGGCCAAAGAATATATTTTAAAGCAACAAGGACATATGGAATAAAATGCAGTAAGTACTCAATAATTTCAACAAAAAACAATATCACAGAGTCGGGACTAAACATAATAATTGTCCTAATTAACATGAATGGGATTAACGCACTTATTAAATGAAAAGAGTTTTCTTAGGAAAATATAGTTTACCAAAACTCACCTCAGTAGAAATAGAAAGCTCAACAGACCTATATCCATACAATAAATAAAGTTATCAAGAAACTACCCTAAAGAAAAGGAGCATTCCAGATGGTTTCACAGGAGAATTTAACCCAACCTTTGGCAGTCAATCCCCAAAGTACGTCTATAATAATGAAAGGAAATTTCCAAATTCTTTTTATGAAGCAAGCTATGCCTAAACCTGATAAAAATAGTACACACACACAAATGCAATTATACTAGAAAAACAAGTAGGGCCATATGAATTACAAAAGAAATAGAAAACCCTAGAGAATCAATGATAAAACTAACTCAATGAAAAATTCACAAACTAGCAAGATATAAAATTAATATGCAAAACTCAATTACATGTATAATAACCTAGAGCTAAGAGCAATCTGTATTGGTGGAAATTGACTCACACTTTGGGTCACTTGATATTTGAAAGAAGTTCACAGACATTTCAGTGGGGAAAGATACTTGTTACAATACATGATATTACAGGGGAATATTTATGTGAGATAAAAATAAATCTCAACTACCTCATACTCAAAAGCTAACTCTGAATGGATCATAGATCTAAACATAAGAACTAAAACTGTTAAGTTCTAAAAGAAGCTTTTATGGCCTTGAGTGAAGCAAAGTTATCAAACTATATACCTAAGATAAGTACATTTTACTCTATGTAAATTCTACCTCAACGCTATTTAAAATAAATAAATAAATAAAACCAACTATGCCTACACAATTTTTCACCCACCAGATTAGCAAAAATTCAGGCTTAATATTACACTGTTGCTGTTTCAAAACACATTCTCACACATTTGCTGGTGGTTATGCAAAATGGTACACCTATATGAGGAAAAAGTTGGCATTTCTACATAAGCACTTACTCTTGAACCTGGCAATAAAATATACCTCCAATAATATTAAAACGCACATGCACAGTATTTATTGTAGTATTACTTGTAGTTAGAAAGTATTGGAAGCTACCTTAATCTCTAAGCACAGGCAACTGAATAAACTGCAGTACATACATGCAAAGGCGTACTGTGCTGCTACCAGAAAGAATGAGAAATGTCTCTCAGGTAATGTGGAGTGATTTCTAGGAGATAGGATCGTGTTTAAAAAGCAGAGTGCACAGGAGTATGTATAGGATGCTGTCCTTTATAAACAAGAGAAATTAAAATATATGTCTTTATCTTTACAGAAGTCAAAGGAAAGATAAAGGACACATCAGTGAACTTCATTATCTAAATTTGGGTGGAAAGGGTGGGAGGGGCAGACAGCGCTCTAAGCATACCATTTCATGTAATTTTTACTTTTGGGTGCATGTTAATAGTCTGCACATTCAAAAAATATATAAAGAAATCAATAGATAGGAAAAGCAAAAAGAACTTAAAACTACAAGCAAACTGAAGTAAATGAATGTATTTGTAGTTCACATGAATATATCCATGCTGAAGGAAAAGAAAAGAAAGAACCAATTCAAGTAACTTATGACTACAGTTATTTGTGTTCAGTGTTTGGCAGGTTGGAGTTGGGTTGGGAAAGAATTGCAAACAAATCTTGAACTTTTAAAAGGATGTTTGATTGTTTCAGGAGTATAGTCAAAACAATTCTGAAACAATTTTAAGATGTATTGTTGTTGACTGTTGTTGAGGTTCAGAATCTCAATGAAAAAGCAGAGACGTAGAAAATAGAATGAAGGAAGCCAAGAAAGATTTTGTGGGGTGGAGGTATGGTGAATGCATCATTTCTAAAATATATGTATATGTGTATATGAAGGTATATGTGCACATGTATATATGTATGTATGTAGATATTATTTGTGTGAGGCTGTGTGTGTGTGTGTGTGCATGTGTGTATCCATAGCTCTGTCAACTGAAAGAGCCAAGAAGCAGACACCCCAGTAGCATATCTAAGTGCCCATATACTGCTCCCCACTAAAAGGAACCCAGGATCCTTTAAGAAATGACTAATTTCAGGACTGGAGTAGGGTAAGTTCAAGATGAGCCTGGAACATGTTATACCAGAAAATAAGGAAGTGTTCAAAAGGAAGGGAGCACATCATAAGAAACCAACTTGAAGGAGCTCCCATTGGCCAGATCTGGAAGTACTTGAGGCCAAGATAATTAAATACAGTAATGAATCACAAACCAT